ACACACACGCACTCTTGTAGAAAAGGGGGGGGGGGGGAATCTTCCCTGTAGCTTATTGGTCTGCATCAAGTACTGTGTAGTTAAAATGTGTGAGAGCCTCAGGAGGAAGGTGTGCAGCCCTACCTGGGCAGCGCCAGTCGTGGAGGACCCTGTGAGCACTCACTTCTGCTCCCGCACGCGCAGGCTCACCCGAGTCAGAGGCAACTTTCCAGCACCTGGTTTGATTTAGGTTTGTTTAGGAAACTCTATTAATATTTAAAAGCCAAGATTCAACATTATAACAATACAAACTGTTTTTTACTGGGGGGGAAAGAGTAAAAACTCTTTTTCAATGGTTTTGAAACTGAGTCTTGCATGTTCATGTCCTCAGAGCCTAGACTAGTAGGGAGCTTAAGAAATTTGCAGAAATATATATTAAATCCATTCAAGAATCATAAACCTTCACCACCATCAGCCACTACAGTCAAGTGGATTCTAACTCATAGGCTTCTGAGGCTGTAAGCCTTCAGGGGAGGAGATTGCTCATCTTCCTCCTGGAAGAGTCTGATGGGTTCCAACCACTGATGTTAACACACTACCCCACCCGAAAGCAGACCGCTCTGCCACAGAGGAATAGAACAAAGAACACCTGGGAAATGAGGGATATGTGGGTCCCACCCCTTAATCATGGTGCAGTGGGGAGAATTATGTCTGACGCTTTGGTTAGGGCCTCTGTTAGTGCAGATTATACTTACACATAAAAAATTAACTCCTTTTGGGTGGCTCCTCTTTGTGGGCATTTTGAAGTCCTTTTGAAGTTGGCTCTAAGAATTCTAACCAGGATTGTGGAAGAAAAGAGCCAAGACAAGCAACATTGCAAGTGCAGGATGGCTTCCATCCAGGCGCCCTTCACAGGCTGGCATGCTGGTTTAAGAAAAGCATGTAGCTTTCTGGAGTGTTGACTTGAAGCAAAGCACAGAGCGAGTTAGCAGCTCTGTTTAGAAGCATTCTGGAGCCAGAGTTGGAGGACTAGGGAGCGAGTTTAGCAAGAGGGTTTAGGAGGCCCGGGAGAGGACCAGATGCCACCCTTTCTGCCTCGGAGCGTGGCGAGGAGGAATGAGGAAGGCAGGTTTGACAGTCAGTTTCTAATGGTTCTAGGACCCTCTGTAGAGTTTCTCCTCCCTGTTGCTGCCCTCTCTGCCTTTGAGTTTTCTGTTAAGCAGTGAAAGAAGAAAAATCAGCCATACAAGATCAAAGGGGCTGCATTTACCCAGGATAAAGCTCAGAATGCAGAAGAAAACAAGTGGAAATCAGCAGCACAGGGAACAAGTGGGTAAGGTGTGTTACCAGTCCATGCCACAGTGTGTATGGAATATTGAAATGGAAACCAATGTGCTCTGTAAACTTTCCCTCAAATCATAATGAAAAGTTTTTAGAAAGTGAAAGTTATCCACATTTGAGTGAAATTAATAGATTCTCTCACTCTCACTGGCAATCTAAATGACCTTGTGGTGCAATGTCTTGAGACTCATCAGAATCCCAGTGATGGGCACCAGCTGAGAAAGTATTTCAAAGCCTGACAACTCTCAGTGCAGAGGGGATATGCAGTGACTAGAACTCCCACACCCTGCTGGAGGCAGTGGCCATTGATGTAACCACTTTGAAAACCATTTGGCATTATCAAGTAACATTGAGGATGTGTGTACTCTATGGCTCAGAGCCCCACCTCAGACATGTAAAAGAATGTTCAGGGCAGCACTCCCCAGCATAGCTACAAACTCAAAAAGCACGGGGCTCATCAGCAGAAGCATGAATACATTGTGACTCATTTTAGTCATGTGAACAAACAAGTTCCTGCTGCCCATAGCCACAGACGTGAATTTTAGAATCTTCATTTTGAGTACAAGCAGCAAAATACAGAAGTGTACACAGAGTGCAATTCCATTTATAAGAAGATTACACAAAGTAACAAACTCTTGTTTAAGATTGTAAACATGGATGGCAAAGTAGAAAAGTAAAGAGTGGCTGTTAGGAAAGCCCAGCTATTGACCTCTGGGAAGGAGGGAAGAGAATACAATCAGAAAGAGGAACCCAGGAGGTGGTAGCTTTGTAACTAAACTTGAATCTGGTACAAAGGGGCCTATTAACCAATAAGAGCAGGCTGCACCCACTGGTGGAACGCACACACAGAGTGATGTGCGCTAGATTGCCAATCTGTAGTGAACAAGTCAGCACCATGTTAAAGCTCTGGTGGAGTCCAGATGAGACTGGTCAGTACAGCACAAACAAACAAGCACAGGTCAGCCTACGTGTATAACCTGTCCCTTTGGAAATGATGCATGTGTGTTTTATGCAGTTTTTGTCTTCTAGCTTACACACACACACACACACACACACACACACACACACACACGACTAAATGGGAGGTAATGTGTAAAAATGACATTTCCCAGTTACATGTGAATTGCCTATGCCCTTTGTGAGTGACATCAATCAATCAATCAATCAAGATAATTCTCCCATCTTCTTTTCACATCCACTCCCAGCCTCCCTATCCTCACATTACTGCAGTCACCTCTGTAAGAAACAACCCCATAAACCTATGATAACTCGTTATCCTATCAACAGTTGGGATGCAAGTGACAATGGTACTCGAGTCAAATCTCCATTCTCTCCCAACTTCCTGGGTGATTGGTCATGTCTGTCTTTGAAGTCAGGGAAGTAAAGAACTTAGAGCTGGCAGAGGAACAGGAGTTAAGAGTCCCTGCATAATGCAAATGGTTAGCAAGCTTGGCTGGAGGAGTTCAAGTTCACCCAGGGGTACCTCAGAAGAAAGGCCTGGCGAATTACCGCAAAGCCACCCATTGAGAACGCTGTGGACACCGTTTGACTCTAAGGCACATGGGGTGGCAGGAGTCTGGACTCCTGATGATGGGGTTTGTTTATGAGGAGGAGGAGGAGCAGCAGCAGAGGGCGCTGTAGCTCCCAGTTTCCCAGCGGAGAGGCTGGAGTGCAGGGACTCCTCCCTGTGACCTTGGGTCTGGGTGAAGCTGTGGCTTGAAGGGATGCATGGATTTAGGTTTCTTCCCACCCACCCACACCCTCTTAAATAGGATAATAAACCACCCTTTTAAGGAAAGGTAAAGAACTTGTCCTATAGCCAGCTATCCGCCTGTCAGAGCCTGTTAGGGCCTGGTGTCTGGTAGCTGTGCCCGCAGGCGTGGGCTGAGCTTTGTGTTCCCAGGAGAGCTCTCCCCGAGGAAGGGGACCCGGGGAGGCTGTGGGAGTCGTGGCAGGGCCAAGACCTGTCTGTCCCTCTCTTCTCTGTCTATAAACGGAAGCACTCAGGGAACATGTCCCTCTCGTCTCTGTCTGTAAACGGAAGCACCCAGGGAACAAGAATGGGAGTTGTGGGCTCCATTGTGGTATTTATTTTATTTTGTGAAGATGGAGGAGCAAACATGAGAACTTTTTGACAGTGCCCAAGTTGCAGACGTCCTGAGATGGAGTGTGTGGCAGAAGTGCTCCCCTGCCTTGTCTGAAAAAGGCTTAGAGAGAGAGGCAGGGTGAAGAGAGAGAATAACAGACCCAGACACCAGCCAGCTTGATGCCTAACTGAAAGTCACAAGGACGGGCCTCTTGCTTTGCAAATCAGGCTTACAGAAGAGTTTCAGGCCCCCTCTGCTTCTCACTGTATTTCATTAAAGAACATCCCTTCCCTACACTAACAGCTGAACAAGGCTGGGCTTGCAGTGGGTGAAGCCAGGACACCGTCTTTCTCTTCTTTCCTCTAATCTTCCTCCCCAGACCTTAAGGCGAACGTGCCGACACCCTGCGTGCCCTCCCTCTCCATCCTCCTTCCCTCTTTCAACAAAGCACAGTGGTGGTTGGGTGGAGGTGAGGCAAGGCTGCTGGGATGGGTTCCTTCAGGCAGAAAGGAATTGTTGAGTCCAGACTGACACAGTGACTGTAACAGAGGGCTGGAGCATGTCAGAGACGCTGAGGATGGCACAGGACAGGGCAGGGTTCAGACATGTGTTCATACTGCTGCTCGGTTATGGTCGACTCAAAGGCACCTAACAGCATGGAATAGGGGGCTGTGTGTTGGCTGCTGATTGAAAATTTGGTTGTCCAAATGTGCCATCTGCTCTGCAAGAGAAAGATGGACAATCTCCTCCCATGGAAAAGATGAATTCATATCTGCCTATTTAATAGAATAATTCTCTATCTTTGTGTTTTACGATTTCTTTGTGTTTTAGGCTTCTGTCTTATGAAATTCTACCCAAATGTGGTTTTAGAGAGGGGATATTTTGTTTGGAATTACACTCAAAGCCTGTAGGGACTTGTACTGAGAACCTAAGCGCCAGGCTTCTGTGACAGTTCAAAGCCACACACAGCAGCTCTGAGAGAGGAAGATGGACAATCTCCTGCAGGGCTGCTTACAGCCTGGCAAACCCAACAGAGGGTCACCTCTGAGCCAGTTCTGCCTCAGTGGCAGCCAGAGAGGATTGAGACTGAAGAAGTTAGGGTGAAAACTGGCAGTGGAATGGCCTTTGTACCACTGACTCTCCTCTGCCCCACCCCACTTCCTTCCTTTAGGATGGAGTGGTGTCTCCCAGCGACCTGGACCTGGTCATGTCAGATGGACTCGGGATGCGCTATGCCTTCATTGGGCCCCTGGAGACGATGCATCTCAATGCAGAAGGTGTGGTTTGATGTTTCTTGGTATTTTCATGGCGTTGTAAGCAGTCTAGCGTTGCCTCTCCTACTTGGATGAAAACAGTATCACAGGTGGGAGACAGCGGCAAGCATGGGGAACACACAGGTACAGGGTCTGCATTAGGAGGCCCGGGATGGCATGGAAACCAGAGCTGGGGCAGAAAAGAGTGCAGACAAGGGTTAGGGAGAGGAGGACAGAGGGGGTGACGGAAGTCACCAAGTACCATCCACCTGGCAGCTGTATTTTCCTAAGGATGATAAAAGTCCTTAGAAAAAGGAGTCAAGGAAACCCAAGGAAACAGAGATTTAACCCACCAGAAGGTCCCCTGGCTCTCACAGCTCCTACATGGTGATTTTCTGAGGAGCTGAGGGAACAATGAAGGGGGTGTTTCCAAAGAGAAGAAAATGATGAAGATTATAGAGAAGCTGGCTTATGAAAGATTTGGGACAAGGTAGGTATGAGCCCATGGTCTGGTACCCGAATTAAAGATAAGAAAGACACGAGGCTTCTGAGAATGAAACTCTATCAACCAAATTTTAAGTGATCCCAAAAGAAAAGGTCCTATTTGAAAAGAAAACAGGCAAGAAAACCTGATGTATAATAATCCGGAAGGATAGACTGCAAAATGTTTTCTCTGTGTGCTGAAATGTGTATTTTCTTTTGCTTTTCTGTGCTGTCATAAATTTCTACTATGTATTATATATATAACTTTATAATTGTTTTAAAAACATAGGTAGACAAGAGAAAAAGGGTAGGGTTTTACGTTCTAGCGTCTACCTTTAAGAGGAGCTCTGGCAGCAAAAACTGGTTAAGTGCTTGGCTGCTGAGTGAAAGGTTGGGAGTTCTATATTACCCTTGGCACAAAGATTAGTGATCTATTCCTGTAAATATTAAGCCCAAGAAGACCCTCTGGGGAAGTTCTGCTCTGTTCAATGGGGTTACAGTTTATTCTTGGACAGCTAACATCAATAACAGATAAACTAGAATTTATCCAAAGGAGGATGACGAGAGTGTGTGTGTATGTGTGTGTGTCTATGTCTTTTTGGGGGGTACCAGAGTGAATGACTGGAAACAATAGTCAAAAATGTCCAAGTTCAGGGTAACTCAAGAAGAATTTTCTGGCAACTGGAGCTGACCTCCAGGAGGAGGCCATCAGGATGGGTGAGTTGATTGACCTCCCCCTCCCCCTCCCCCCATTGGATGTTTCATGGCGATGTCTGCACTGCTGTGGAGTTCGAGTACGTGACCTCTTGACTTTGATTCAGTAAATCTATGGCTTTCTGGCAGTAGTTTGATTCATTTTTACCATGGTAATGAATGAAGGTGGGAGAGAGACGAGTAATCTCCTCCCTTGTGATTTATAGTATCTGAAAACCCCACAGGAGAATCAGCTATGAGTCAGTTCCAACTTCTTGGCACACGAGAAGACACCAAGTAATGAAATGTCATTTCCATTGACTAATTCAGGGCGGTTGTACTAGACACACTCTTGCACGTAGCAAGGGCACGTATTGTTTTTTGCCTTGATTTTTGCATAAGCGCTGGCAAATGAAAGACTCTCATGACTGGCTTGGTTTGTGATATCTGGTTAATCGTGATGGGCTGGGACTGAACTCACAATATCTCAGAGTACCCCAGTGAAGGAGAGGAAGACTCACAAGGAGATATTTTGACAAAGTGACTGCAACAGTGGTCTTGAGCTAAGATGATGAAGATTGGTGCAAGATCAGGCTGGGTGTCTGTCTGTTAGCCACACAGTTGCTATGGGTTGGAGTCAGCTGGACAGTACATAGCAACAGCAGCAGCTTCAACAACAACATATATTAGGGTTTTTTTGGCAGAACAACCATTGAACGTAGGAGAATATTAACTAATTTGCCTGCTTAAAAGTGAAGAGTTTTGAAGTTTCGTTGGAACCAAGTATTGGATAATTTTAACTATTTTAACCAGAACCACAAAAGTGGAGAATATATTTAAATATTTGGAATGTACGACTATCACCATGTTTTCGTCTTCTTTTTTCTTTCTTTATTCTCCTTGAGAAAAATAAGATAATCCAGGTATCACAAGACATCAATAAGGAGGGAACTGAGAACACCATTGTCTTTCAAACAAATAGAAACAGAAGCAATGAAACCTGAACCTCACAAATCAAGTGGCGTGGCAGACAGGAAGGAGGCTCATAACAATTTTTTGAACAAAGGAGATATGATAAGAAAACCTAATAGGCTTACTATGATAATGGTGGATGGATGTAGTTTTCAACTTCAGAGCATTCCAAACACCAGAGTCAGACAGTTATAAGATCTGGCTGGGTATCAATGAAAATGCTCATTCTTCTTCCAGTGTTATCCAGAATATATCAAGATTAGAGTTAGGAGAGCCCTTCTTTCTTTTTTTTTTCTCTCTCTCCTTTCTGATTTGTTTTCATAAAGCTGGCATTTCAGTTTAAGGGTAGCTATTAGCCTTAAAAGCTACAGATTATCACAAACCAGTAAAAAGATTTTTTGTTTTTAGTCTAATAAAATATGACCTGAAAACAAACACAGTCCAGTTTGCTTCCTTCATCTTTTAACTTCTTTTTAGAAGACAAATGCACGTAGGATAGGTACTCTAATGTGTGATAGTGGACAGGGGTCAGCACACCCTTAAGCCAGTTGCTGAGTTCACTGGGGAGCCCGGTAGTGACCACCCCACAGGGGTGCGGAGAGAATGAAGGCACGTGGAGCCACTCAGCAGGCCTGCCAGCACAGGCTGAGCCCTTGATAAATGTTATATTCATAGAGTTTTATCTTGTTTGTTTAATCCATTTTTCTTTCAAGTTTCTTTAAAAAAATATTTACTCTCCTTAAAAGATTCACAAATGTATGAGCGAAAAATACAGTATAAACACAGATTAGGGTCCTTTTGCTGTGCAGCAGAGAAGGTACAGAGCTGGGTATGTAGAGGGCAACTGTTTGGTGTGCGTCTCTGGTAGACTCTGACTACATGCAGGTCAGCAGAGACAACCCCCCAGCATTTGGGGGCTTAATCCTCTTAGACCTGCTGCCTGCCTGGGCTCCTGCCTCATTTTCTCCATCTGTGAAATAACTGTCCCCCGGAATGGGCAGAGCCTGAAGCTCCCTCCAGGTGAGGTGGATGGTGGCTGTTTTGCCTCACAGGCTCACCTCTCCTGTGTATTTTTGCCCCCCACTGAGTTGCCTCCTTGATGTTTGGTTCATTACCCAGGGCTGTTCCTTGAAGCTGGGAGGGTCAGCTGGTCGCCTGTGTGAAGTCAGAGCCTCACCTCATTCTCTGACCTCAGACAAGTCCTCACCCAGGGAGGAACTGGAAACTCGAGGAGTTAGATACCGTCTGTCTGTGCCGCGGGCCCTTTTTGATCTTCCTTGATACTTCTGTGAAACCCAGTCTCTGAAGAACAGGTGGATTCACGTAGGTATGGGTAACTGTCAGCGCTCCCTAAGAACTCAAGTGACCCTTCACCCAGAGTGCCCACAGCTGCTGGGTCTGTCCGTGGACAGAGCCACCTTGCATCGGCAGGTGGAGCACCATGGCCAGAGGGAAGGCTGGTCTACCCACCTCTCTCCCCACGGTCAGGGGACACTGTAGGTTCAACAACTGTCACCTGACTGAAGAATTCCACCGTAGGTACCAGCAGGATAAGCCTAACCACATGTCAGTTCTTGTCCCTTCTAACAGCATCTCTTGAGAAAATAGACCCAAAGCCCTACAAAATAAGCCCAGATGAGGGGTTTTGGAAGAAGAAAGCTGAAGAGCACAGAGGACTTGGATCCACAAGAGAGAAAAGGTAGAGGAAGACAGAACTTGATCCAAGTATAGGAAGGGCAGGTTAGTGTGATCAAAAAGACTGCTTGTGTGTTTCATCTCTAATGGAATGAAGACATTCCCCCTCACTTATTCCATGGTGTAGAAAAGCCGCAGCTTTTGTTGGAAAGGAAGCAAGACTCTCCCTAAATGGAAGGAAACAGGTTGAACGTAAGAGTGGTTATTGTTGTTGTTGTTAGGTGTCATTAAATCAGTTCCCACACAAAGGAAATCTTTGTATAACAGAGCAAAACACTACCACGTCTTTCCAAATACGAGGCCCCCTTAAACATCTTATACATCTAAGTTATTAAAAAAAAAAATCACTGAATTTTTATATTTTAGAACCTGTATTAGTGCAGGTCCAGCTCCAGGAGAGGGGCGCCATGTGAAAGGCAGGGGGTTAGATTTTTTTTCCTTGCGTCTCTAACGTCCACTTAAATCCCTCCATACGGGACTCTTCCTGCCAAGTGCACAGACAAGGTGCCCAGCATGTATAATGTAATGTTTTACTCAATCTCAGCTTGTTCTGGCTGGACGAGCTCCAGGTTAGCCGCACCCTGGAGCAATCTGCATGGTTTCCAGCATTCTCCTCTGAAGTAAAACTCCTAAGCAATCCCCCCTCACTGCTGTGAGGGACCGCCTGGAACATGCCTCCTCTTGCCAAGCTTCTCGGGCCTCAAGCTGAAGGCTCCTGTGTCTGCTCCTGATCCAAAGTTTGTGGAGCTGGTGACTAAGCAGGGTTTTGCTCCATCTCCTTCTTTTGGCCTGGGAGCCAGCACTTAGTACCATTTGTCCTCCAGAGGACATACTAGGACATACTGTTTGTCCCTAACATACTAGCCAATAAATAGATACTAGCCAATCCTCTCAATACCCTACCCTACCCACATTAAACCTGAATGGTACTTCTATTCGCATACACAATCTTATGATCAATCCCCAGCGAACTAAGAAGAGTTCTTGTATTAGTCTTCTTCATCGTGTTTCTAGTTATTTCCCCCTTACTACATATATCCAAACAACAAAGCCTTGTATTCTGACCAACCAGCCAATGTCTGTCTATTCTGAATTCTAGTAGTAGACCTAATTAAACTTACATGGATTGGAGGCTGGCCAGTGGAATGGCCATATGTTACGATTGGCCAGTTAGCCTCAGT